CAGTGAAGTGCTCCATTGAAATGCTCCTTTTCAGAGAGCCTCAGCGTGTGATGCTGTGCCTGGTTGTCATCCCTGATGACAGGCAGGGAAATGCATTTCCCTGCTTCCTTAGGTTGGGTGGTTGTTCAGGTGAACTCCTCCCAGATGATGCTGTTCTAGCAGCTGGCCCCCATTTCTACCCTCTCTATTGCATTTCTCACGAATAATTGCTTGGCTTTTCTTCTTCTTGGCTTCAGCAAACAAAAAGTAACCCAACCCTGTATTTTAATTTAACTGGGAGGATTTTGATGGCACATTGCCCTTGGTTTAACTCGAGCACAGTTCGGCTGCTTTTATTAGTTTATGGCTAACTCAGCTCCTCTAGAAACTTCCTTCAGCTGGGTGGTCCACTGGGATGAAAGCAGGGTAGATTTGGGGGTTCCTCAGTGTATGCTTTGGGAACAGAGGCATTAAACACTCCAGCACCTGAGAACTGAGGGGACGGAAGGTGGGAACTCGCCCCGGATCCGTGCAGGTGTCAGGAGCTGCAGGCAGGGACCACACTGCAAGTGCCTTTACTGGGTTAGGGCCAGATTCTCCTTCATGGAATTAGGGACTTCAGTACCCCTCCAAAGTCAGTGCTAGAGCCAGGGAGGAGCTGGTGGGGACAATTTTCATACATTTTATGTCTCACAGCTCCAGGGCTGTACTCTTGCTGCTGCAGGAGTCGCTGTGTGTCTGTGATTTGCCTTTACGGCATCTAAGGTAAGAAAGCCAAGGTTCCTTGGGGAAGCACAGGGATGATCTTCCTGCAAGGGCCCAGGTATTGGCTGGAAAACATCTGGGGAATCAGTGAACCAAAAATGCTGCCAAGCCTCGCTGCCTAGAGCTGAGGTGGCAGCTTGGCATGGAGTGAAGGAGCCAAGGGTAATCCCAAGGGACCAGCCCGAGCTGCTGCCTGCAGATCTGGGCATTGCAGACCCCAGCACAATGGTGTTTGCTGCCTGCTGTCCCACAGGAGCACAAGGCATGCACATCTCCTTCCCACATCCCAGTGTCTCCTGGGCTCCTCTTCTGTCCTTCCAGGGTGCCAAATTACACTGCAAGTGTTCACCACGATGAGCTCACAAAGGAATCCTGGGTCCAGATCCACTGAAATCCGTGCCCTAAGACCTTCCCAGGGATTATTGCCCAGACACCTGTGGCTGTGATTCATCCTTTCATAATAAGACTGCAGTTTATTGCCAGGAGAGGTATCTGGAGGTCTGGGCTAGTCCCTTTTTGTCAGGGGCAAATTTGATTTCAGAGAACCGTGACCCAAACCTGCTTGCTTATTAAACTACCCTGAGCAGCTTTAATGACACATGCAAGTGTTTGTTTATTTTGTTTTTATTAAATTTAATTTCTTAAAAATTTTGACTCTTTCAGACATCTCAAGAGCTGCTGCCCCAGTGCAGTGAGTGCACAGAAGTAGGAATTAAACCATTTCTCCCACTCAGGTTTCAGTTGCAGTTTAGGATTTATCTTTGCCTCTTGACGTGACTGTGGAGAAAGGATTCAATTTGGGTTTGCAGCGAGCAAACCTTGACCATCAAATGATGGCAGAGTGAGTACTGAAAAGAAAGGAAAAACACTTATCAGGCCAATCTTTTTCCACATAGGAGCTTCAAAGGGACACCAGTCAGATAAAAACATGCAAACCATCAGGCTGCTCGCCCATTTGAAGTGTATGCTGAGGTGCTTGCCGCAGGAGCAGCCAGACAGGTTGTGTGCAATCACTCTTGCTGAGTGTGAGCATCTGATTGCTCTGTTGCTCAACAGGACAGGGAACAAAGGATATGTATTGGCTTGGAGGGAGCCCCTTCCAAGGAAAACCCCCACTCAGCTGTACTTTTAATTTAATGGTTCATTTAGAAAGAGCTTTAACCAAGAGGAACTGTTTATATTTATGGAAGTAAGATTTTTCCTACTAAACCAGCCCCCAAGTGCCCGTGAATCAGTGCTGTCAGTGGGGCAGGAGGAGGTGATTCATTCACCAGGGCCTGTCAGTGTCTGTGGCAGGGCTGGTGGTGGGAAGTGTGGGAAGTGCAGCTCTTGCAGGTGCTCTAAGTGTGCCCAGTCATGAGCCAGAGCTGGACAAGGCTTGTCCCATCCTCTGGTTCCTTCCAGCAGAGGCCAGTTCCAGGTATGTTCAACATGGGGACACTTGGAACCTGTCCCAAAACTCCTCCCCTGATTTTTGCTAGCTGAATGTAGACATTTTTCCTAAAGCAAAGGGGTTTTTTTTCTGTTTATCTTTTAAATTTAGCCAAAATTATTTAACAGGTATGGCTGCAGCAGAGGTATGGGTTACCACGTGAGCACATGCAGAAGCTACAGCAGCAGGTGCATTAGCCTGATGTAGCTTTTGCATTGCAGTTTTATTCCCCACTGCCTTGTTTGGCTTGTTTTGCCTGAAACCCAGGGTTCACTTGAGGAAGAAACCCTGTATTTGAGTGGGTTGCTAATACTTCCAGTGGCACTTTCCCCAGTTGGTTCAGCAGTTCAGTTGCTCTCTGCTCTTGTTGGGGCTGTGATAACTCGTTCCACTTCATTGCACGGGGCTGCTCCTAGGGCTGCCCTGGCACGTGGCCTCGGTGCTGACAATGGTCCCACACGGATGGATGGATCTCTGTGGCACTGGGCATTCCACTTCTCCCTCCTCTGTCCTATCAGGATGTCTGCTGAGCCTCCTTGCCTGTCCCTGGGCGCCTCCAGGGACACGGCAGCACTGCCAGAGTAAGGAATGGCGCTGCTCCTCCGAGCCCTCCCGCAGTGCCAGGGGTCCCAGAGCCTGGTGGAACCTCTGCCACAAGTCTTGAGAAGGAGTGTTTAGGAGTGGAAAAGGGAGGGCAAGGAGCAGAGGGAGATTAGGGGCAGGGCTGTAACATTACACTGAAAAGGTCTTTTGACGAGTCCAGCCTATCACTCACATTGTGATAAAGATTGTAGAGATCTTTGCAAAATGTGCCATGGTTTAACCTCATGAGCAAGTATAACAACTATATTTACTCTGAGATCTCCATCCTTGAGGGATTTTTATAAGTAATTTTTTTTTTTATAAGCTGATATACTCATATGTTAGTTACAGAGTATAATCCCCCTTTATTGACAGGGAAACTGAGGCAGATAAAAAATGTCTCACCAAGGTCATCTGAAAGGCTGTAACCTTACAAATCCTATCTCCCTTCCCCTCACCGGATATTCCTCCTTTGCACAGAGTGAGAAGGTAATTGGCCTCCCAAAACCCAGAGTGTTGGAACAGCAGGATCCACGTGTGGCTGTGAGAGCTGCTCTGGGTGGGGACAGGGCTGTACTTCCAGGAAACCCTGCTCATCTCTTTCACACATGGAGGAGCAGAGCAATCCTGGCCTGGCCAGGGCAGCCTGTCTGTCACTGTGTGCTGCATTAAATAACCAGATGGACCAGCAGAACTGTGCTCATTGAGCGGGGAAGGAAGTGCTTATTCTTCCAGCTGGACTCCAAGTGTCCCTTGGGAAGCGGTGTTTATAAAGAACAAGCCCATCCATTGCAAATTAATGCCTTAAAAGTTAGTCAGCCCTTCCCCTGCCCCTAAGCTCTCCCCAGCCAGCCCTTGCTCCGCAGGAGGATGATTTCACACTGAGCTGATGGAGAGTTTCTTTGTTTCCACAGAGCTGCTCTTGGATACAAAGAAAACTGGTGCTTGAACCAACATCTGGAAGCTTGTTTTCTCTCAAAATAAATACTCCATTCTGCTACCTCTTCTCAGAGACCCATCTTTTCTTTTTTTTTTTTTTTAAACTTGTGAATCAAGAGCTAGCTGCTCTTGCAGGAGAGGTAGAGGTTGAAATCACTGTTGTTTTTGGCCATATTTCTCACTTCTTTGCATCCTCTTTGCTCAAGTGCCTAAAATGTTTGTTTCCATTTACAGGGTTTGGCCTTTGTTTGTCCTCCAAAATCTGCCACAGATGCCTGTAGATACCGAGGTGGTGGTGGGTATCCCCCTGGGGGGATTGGCCTTGTAGCAGGGGGCAGGCTGAGTCACAGGCTTCAAAACCCCAATTCAATGGGGTTTTCTCCTGTCTTGCTCAAATTGGCTGTATTCTTGTCTCTTCTGATCCTTGCACTGCAAGTTCCTGGGAACCAGGAAGGGTCTGTGGGATTTGGTGGGGAATATCATATGGCCCATCATTACGGTTCATGATGAGAACAGAAATAATCTCAACCACATTAACGTGTCAGGAGGGAAAAAAAAAAAAAAGAACCTTTTTGGTTCCATAATTTTCAAAGGTCAGCCTTGGGGTGTCTGAAATGTATCTTCAGCTGGAGGTGTGAATGCACAATATCAATGTTTTCTCCTCAAAACGCGTAGGTTGGGCGCTGCTTTTCTCAATGCTGCCAGTTTTTGCTACCATATGTTCTCCTTTTGCAAAACCTTTAGCACTGTTAACTTGGCTTAATGTAAACAGATGATGCTGCATCTTATATTCCAAATTGCCAAGGCCGCGGAGGCACCACCTGGAGCGGTGCATGTGTGACTAGTCTTTCCTAACCTGTTCTGGAAGCTCTGCCTCGACCCCACCTTTTCCTCCAGTTGTTTGTCTCCAGAAGGAAGGAATCCTGCCTTAGATGCCCCTGAGGCAAAGTGTGGACCCACAGGGACTCCTGCAGCAGTGGGGAAACACAGCCCTGGAGCTGTGAGATGCTAAATGTTGAGAATGCAGCTGTCCCCATGAAGCTGCAGGGAGATTCATGGCACATTGAAGGTGATGAAGCCACCTTTCTCTCCAAGGTGGAGAGCTCTCTGCTGTCCCAGGACAGCTCTGTGGTGCCCTTTTGTCACTACCCCACCTTTTCCTCCAGTTGTCCTAGCGTGGAGAAGGGCCGAGGGATTCCCATTGCTAGGAAAAACGGAGGTGTGAAGAACCGCGGTGCCCCCGGGCAGGTCCAGGGCCTGGCTGTGCTCTCCCCTCCTCACCCCACGTCTCTCTCTCCGCCAGGACGTCAACGCGGGCGAGGGCAGCGAGTTCACCGACAGCGGCATCGAGGGCGCAGCCACGGACACGGACCTGCTGTCACGGCGCTCCAACGCCACCACGGCCAGCTACTCGCCGCCCGCCGGCCGCGCCTTCATCGGCAGCGACAGCGGCAGCAGCTCGGCGGGCGATGGGCTGCGCCAGGGCGTCTACGAGAACTTCCGCCGCGAGCTGGAGATGAGCACCACCAACAGCGAGCACCTGGAGGAGGCGGGCTCGGCCCTGAGCGACGAGCAGAGCAGCGGCACCCTCAGCTCCCCCGGCCAGTCCGACATCCTGCTGAGCGCCGCGCAGGGCACCGTGCGCAAGGCCGGCGCCCTGGCCGTCAAAAACTTCCTGGTGCACAAGAAGAACAAGAAGGTGGAGTCGGCCACGCGCAGGAAGTGGAAGCACTACTGGGTGTCCCTGAAAGGTACCGGGGAGAGCGGGCTGGGGTCCGGTGGGACGGCCAGATCAGGGGCCTGGACTCGTAACAAAAGCTGCCGTGATCTTCAGTATCGTTCACTTGGAGTGTGGGGAAGTGGCCCTGCTGGTTTTTTGGGTGCTGGTTGTTGATGTGCTCAGCCGTGGCACGTGTGTAGTCCAAGGCATGGCAGTGAGGTTCATAGCTTGCTTGGAGCCCTGCTGACATCACCCAGGGAGGCTTCCCTGGGTGTTGTTCCCTTGGAGAAGCGTGTCCATGGCTTGCTGGCAGCTTAATGAATGCCCGTGTGCCACTGCAGGCACACCATGGTGGTGACAATGACACGGGGCCTCTGCCACGCTCTGCATCCCTCCCGTACCTCTCCTTCCCCGGGAGGTGCTTCATGAGTATAAATACTCAGCAGCACATTTGCGAGGTGGACAGGAGGCTGTGGTTGGTCATCAAGGCTGATGTGTGGCTCTGGCTGTGTCACCTGCACCCACCCAGCTGCCCTGCTCCCTCCTCGGCTGCTGGGCCACAGACCCTCTTCTCTCCGGGTTGTTGCAGTCGCTGTTAGGCACGTGCTCTCAAACTCACCTTCATGTGCTTCATCAGTAAGGGAACTGGAAGCCACAGTTCTGGGGCTGGCCTCCCTCTGCTCTGCTGTGGCCGGAGCCAGCGGAGGCAGAGCCGCGTCTCCTGCTCTAGGTGGGGTCACCCAAAAGGCTCAGTGTGCTCAAACCCTGTCCTCCCCACAGAGAGCTCTTCCTAGAGCACTTGTTTATTTTTCATTTGCAGCGCTATTTTAAAGCCAACAGCAAAGTTTGGAGCCAGCTCTTGCTTGGGGTGGCTGGAGAGCTGGGGAAATGGGAGAGGGGAGGTGAGGGGCAGCCCTGATCTCCTGGGAAGGGGGCAGGAAGGTCTTGCTGTGAGGAGCAGGCAAACAAAGGGCCATCTGGGAGAAGAAAGGGGAAGGATGAGCAGGGGAGGGATCTTGTTTTGAAGTGCTTTGGCTCAAGTGGAGTGTTAACTCCTTGGATTGCTGTGCCCTGGTACTGGCAGTGTTTAACTGAGGCTTTGAAGTGAGCAGCTGCCATTGTTTGGCTGCAAATTGTTTTCTGAGGGGCTGGGTACCAGAGCATCCCTTTCCAGTGACACAGCAACTACGTGCCAGCCTGTAAATAACTGGAGATAATGTGGGAAGGTGGGAGAGGTGGAGACCCTTTTCTTTTTGGAATCTCCCAAATTGCACACTTGCTCTATACTTTGTTTTCCTTCCCCGGGAGGATTGTAGAGATTATTTTGCAACACCGAGCAGGTTGTTTGCTGTCCCCAATTAAGTTTTTTTGCCCATCAGTCTTTGAGCAAGCACAGCTCACCCCAGCCCATTTTAATTCCAGTTACTGTCTGCATCCAGTAATTAAATGGCTTGATCTTAGCCTTGCAGGGACTGTAGCAGCAGCTGCAGAGGCTGAGGCTGGGCCATTCCTGGGGGCCTGTCTGCTCCCAGGGCTGGCTCACAGCTGATTGTCACCCTCAGGGGACCAGAATCTCAGGCATGGGGTGGCCATGAGCCCAAACTTGTGATTTCTTACGATGTTTCTCAGCCGGGAGTGTATTTTACTGCCCGTGTGACTTTCTGTTTTGGCAGTCCTAGGGAGAACAAAACTCAGGGGGAACAAAACAGCCCTGGGTCAGGGCTCACTGTGCCCTGCAGCTCGTGGTGTGCCTGCTTGCCACACACATTAAAACCAGCAGAGCATTTGAATGTGCTGCTTGTTGTCCCTTGCAGGCTGCACGTTGTTCTTCTATGAGACTGATGGCAGGTCTGGCATTGACCACAACAGCATCCCCAAACACGCTGTCTGGGTGGAGAACAGCATCGTGCAAGCCGTGCCTGAGCACCCCAAGAAGGACTTTGTCTTCTGCCTCAGCAACTCCCTTGGGGACGCTTTCCTCTTCCAGGTTGGTTTTTGACAAGTTTTTTTCTGTCTCCCAGCCAGGAGGACATCTGAGCTCTGGTTGAGATCAGTGGAAAGTCCTGCTGACTCCAGTAGGTTTGGGGTTTTCCTTTGGAAGGGCACGCTCTGAACATGATCAGTGTCAAATCTGCTTTTTTAACAACTGGCTGGACCCTCTTTGTGTGGATGGCTGGGGCAGAGAATGAAGAAATGCCCCAGCATCGCCGTAAGAACTGGTTGGGCAGCATGCTTCGAACACACAGACCAAGCCAGTCACCACACAGGACATCCAGCTGGGCATTAAATGTGCTGTGCCACTCTCTGTGTCTTGTAAAAGACCTGTGTCAAAGGAGGGTCTTGAGGGGATGACAAGAGCAGTAGGAAGTGCAAGGGGATGTCTGGATCTGCAGGTGCTCTCCCAGAGGGGCTACAGAATCCAGCTGCCCCTTGTTCACGTATTTTGCTGCTGCCCAAGAGGAGACTGGAAGTGCAGGAATTTAATCAGGAGAGAAATGTCTTAATTTTGCTGGGCACATTTAAAAAAAATTCCCAGGACTTACATCAAAGACCATCCATTAGTTGGTGTGTTTCACTTGAAAAGATTTCTGTAATTTGGTAACCACTGCTTCCCTGAGTGATTTTTAGGTTGTCATCCCCTTTTTTATGTCAAGCTGGCACTAAGCAGAGTGTGACATTCTGTTATTTGCAATTGGCAGAACATGCTGAGGTAGGTGCATTTCCTCTGGAAAAATCCCTTTACTTCTTTTTCCAATGACAATGGAGTTTCTTGCCTTCCCAAACCAGAAGCTGCTCTGGGGTAGGATATGTCCCCACATCATCACTCCCCTGTATTCTAGAGCAAAAAAATTAAAATTATGCTGTGTTGTAGGTCCTTGCAGCTGTACTTGCAAAGGGCTGGATTCTCAAACTGGTGTAAAAAAAGCCCTTCTGATTCTTGGAGGGACTGAGTGTCTGACCCATCTTTTTTTGTGGACTAACTTCTCTGCCACCTCAATGGGATTTTTCCTCAGCTCCTTCTGTAGTAGTGCCCCTGTCCCTCTCCCCTTCACGTCTTCCCTGGGAAGGGGATGTGTGTTTTGGCACCTACACACCTTCCTCCAGGTGAGAGGGAATCACAGAGCCTCAGAATGGCCTGGGCTGGAGGGCACCTTAAAGCTCATCCAGTTCCACCCCCTGCCATGGGCAGGGACACCTTCCCCTGTCCCAGGTTGCTTCAAGTCCCAATGTCCAGCCTGGCCTTGGACACTGCCAGGGATCCAGGAGCAGCCACAGCTTCTCTGGGCACCCTGTGCCAGGGCCTGCCCACCCTCCCAGGGAACAATTCCTTTCCCATATCCCCCCTAATCCTGCCCTCGGGCAGTGGGAAGCCGTTCCCTGTGTCCTGTCCTTCCATGTCCCTACAAAGAATCCCTCTCTGTCTTTCTTGTGGGCTCCCAGACTGGAGGGGCCCAGTGAGGTCACCCCAAAGCTTATTCTCTAGGAGCCCGGTGACATTATGCCACAGGTAGGTTTTTGTGTAGGGAAGAAGCAAAACTGAGCCTTTTCAAGCAAAACCCAGTCATTTCTATTGCCAGAAAGGTTCTGTGATGTGTCCCCTCTGCCATGGGGGCAGAGAAGGAGGGGATGTCCCGAGAGTGCCCCCAGCCAGCACAGAGCTGTAGGAGTGGGTTTGGCAAGGACAGGCAGAGCCCTGCAGGAGGCTATTTCTGCACTGTGGAAAACAGGGCTGGCTGTGATCCCACACATCCTGGACAGCTGGTAAGGAGCCTGCCCACTGCAGTGCCCCCAGAGGCACCCCCCATCCTCGCACAGGGCTCAGGCAGCTCCGGCTGTGCCCACACAAACCCAGCCTGGCACGTGTCGCTGTGTGTGCCGGCAGCTCGCAGCAGCTTGGGACAGCACCCACATGTGTCAGGTGTTTGCAGCCTGCTTGGGTCGTCCTGGCCCTTGAGAAGGGCACTGATTCCCATCACCCACCTAGGGCTAGGTCTTCAGCTCCTAAAATCTACTCCAGACCCTTTTTTCCCTCCCTCTCCCCAGGAAACCCAGAAGAAAAATTAATCTAATTGTATGCAGATAATGCTTTGAAATGTAATAAGTCAGCAAACGCTGTTAGGATTTTGCTAGGAATTAACAAACACAGCATCTCATTCTAAGCCCAGTGCTGATCTCTTCTCTGCTGTGGATGAGGTTTCACCACCTGACTGTGGGCAAAGTGTCTCCTGTTCTGGCAGGTAATTCCAGTATTTCCAGCAGAAGTTCCTCAGCTAGAGGGACTCACAGTGTCCTCAGCAGCGGAATGAGAGCCTGCTGGTGCTACTGCCTGGGCAGAGGGCCTGACCAGTTTCAGCTGTATCCTGTGTACAGTGCCAGCTGGAGCCAAGGGAATTGGGAAGGAGGAGGTCAGTCCTGGAGCAGATCCTGTTTGTGCTTAGGGCTTCCAGCCTGAGTGAGGAAAGTGGTGTCATTCTGGGACAGCTGTGTCCCACTTGTTTCAGCACCACAAAAGTTTGGGGAGCATCAGTCTGAAGGCCAGCTGGGCTTCTCTGGGAAGCTCTCCTTAGCTTCTTCCGTGGCTGTTGGTTGTGACCTCAGCGAGGGTGACCTTCCTCATCTTCTCCAGCAAATGGTGGAGTCATGCTGGGCTGTCTATTAATAGATCAGCATCATCAGAAAGTTTAATTAGAACAGGGTGGTTTGGCACCTTGCTACTTTTCCAGCCAGGAGCCAAATACCAGTGTGATTATTGCCACAGGCTGACACTCACAGAAAGTCCTCTGCAACCCTGAGCTGGCTGGAAAGTTTGTTTTATGACCTACTGTAAAAAGGAATGGAGTTTAGTAAAAGGCCTTAAGAAGATTGACTTTATTTTGAAAATCTGGAAAGAAGAATCTGGAAAGATTCTTCTTTGTATGTCAAAAGCCTCTAATCAGAACAGTTCTCTTCCAGAAAACTGGATTACTGGTGTCCCGTGCTCCAGCCTGGTGTCTCATGGAGTGCTTTGGGCTGGAAGGGACATTAGAGATTACCCAGTTCCACGCCCTGCCATGGGCAGGAACACCTTCCACTATTCCAGGTTTCTCCAAGGCCTGTCCAGCCTGGCCTTGGATGCTTCCAGCAAGGAGAAACGTACCCTTTTCCCAAACTGCCATATCCATGCTTGGGAAGGGACACAGCCAGAGCTGTGAAAACAAGGATGTGCCTTTAATGGTAACAGGGGTGTCTCCAGAGAGCTTTGGGACCTTCAGAAACAGAAAGCTTGCTTGTCTGTGCACCATAGTAGAGCTACTCATACTTCTCATGGTCACCTTTTAATTTATTATTAATTTATGATGAACTGCTGCATGCCAGAAAAGCTGTCCATCCTGGGAAGAGCACAGTGGTGGTGCATTCCCTGCCTTAAGGAACTGGAGTTTAGAAATCATGGTAAAATGCCAAGCTAGAAGTTATGGCAGCACTGAGCCAGGGAGGTAATTCCTGAGGCCTTGCTGGGAAGCACCCACAGCTGCAAAGCACAGATAGAGGTGTAATTCCAAGTGCTGAGTGCCTGGTGCCGAGTTAAAAATGGCCTGCTTATGGATGATGGGGGGTGATTACTTCGACAGGAGTAAGTGGATTTAAGGCTTTGAATCTGGAGATCAAAGGGAAAGGAAACTCCTTGGAATTGCATTTGTTAATCTTCAATCAGTTTCAAAGAGGATCCTGAGTGCCTCTGCCCTCTTTCCCCGTGTGCAGACGTGCAGCCAGACGGAGCTGGAGAACTGGATCACGGCGATCCACTCGGCCTGCGCCACCGCCGTGGCGCGGCAGCACCACAAGGAGGACACGGTCAAGCTGCTCAAAACAGAGATCAAAAAGCTGGAGCAGAAGATAGACATGGACGAGAAGATGAAGAAAATGGGTGAAATGCAGCTGTCCTCTGTCACAGACTCCAAGAAGAAGAAGACCATACTGGATCAGGTAAGCTCTTGCTCATGTGAAATTAGTCCCTAGTGAGGGTTTAATGCCTTTCAGAGGTTGATGTGAGCTCCCTGGAGCCAGGTGGGAGCAGGAGAGCTGGGCTGGCTGCCTTAGCTGCACCATTTCTCCACTAAGGTCCAGCATGGGCTGTTTTCTGCTGGCCTCCAGGAGATTTGGATAGCAGAAGGTTGACTGAGGAGGCTGCCAGGCCACGGCTGGAGGATGCCATGGGGAACAGCTGCTCACACACCAACAAACACTGCTGCTTCTGCTGGCAGCTGGCCTGAAGAAGCCATGCCTGGTTTCTGCTTGTCACAAGGGTCTGCCTTGACCTTGTGGCTGCATCCCTGGCTCCCCCTGGGCCCGCTCCTCCTGCCATCAAGTGGACAGCGTGGCTGGGTTTCAGAAGCAGAGAGCCTCGAGCAGATGTCTCTCCCGCTGCTGCAGCAGCGCCTTATTTTGGGAAGCTTAACATATGGCTCCTGCTTCCCTCATTTGGAGCTCTGCTACCACGGCTGCCAAGTGTGTAATGCAAGGCATGGGAAGTGTTTGGGGCTGAGCTAAAGAGATTTGTACCCCCTTGGAAGCCAGTGAGAAGGGGAAATAGGGGAGAAAGGGGAGGGAGATGCTAAAGAGCTTCACTCAAAGCTGTCAGTCACAGTGAGAGGGCAGAGCAGCCTCTCTCTTTATGTAACTGAGTTTGTCTGGATGCTTTGAAACTGCTTCCTATAAGCTATTTGAATTATTTAAATAAGTCCTTCCATAGGCTGATTACAGCACTCTTCCACTGATCAGATTAATTATCCCCAGTGTATGGCACTTTTTCAAGCTCTGTTGTTGCTCACAGCAAAGCTGCTGCTGTGGCTGCTGATTTGGGATGCCCTGTGCCTGCAGTTTGGTGGGGTTTGCTCTTCTGGTTCCTCAGATGCTCTTGATGCATGAAAAAAGCCTCCTAAGGGACTGCTGAGCAGAGAATCCTGGAAATACAAAGAAAATTAAAAATGAAATTTTAATCCTGTTAATTAGCATTGTATCAAAGGAGCGGTTGTCCCAGGAGGAGACTTCTGCCATGAATGTAGAAAAAGTTGTTTTCCATCTAATGAAAACTCTTAATATTTGCGTCCTTTGGGGGGTTGGGAGGGCGGGGGAGAGTGGGAAAATCAGGAATCGGGGTTTGTTGAGTGAGATCAGCGTTGGTGAAAAGGATGTGCTGCTGGGAATTTTTTCAAGGCGTTTACCAGCCTCTTCTCCCCTTCTCTCCCCTCGCTCTGGAACCTCGGCCGGACCCAGATCTTCGTGTGGGAGCAGAACCTGGAGCAGTTCCAGATGGATCTGTTCCGGTACCGCTGTTACCTGGCGAGCCTGCAGGGCGGGGAGCTGCCCAACCCCAAGCGCCTGCTGGCCTTTGCCAGCCGCCCCACCAAGGTGGCCATGGGCCGCCTGGGCATCTTCTCCGTGTCGTCCTTCCACGCGCTGGTGAGTGGGCACGGGCAGGGCTGGGCACTGCAGGGTCAGGGATCAGAGATCCTGCTCCCAGAGGGGCTGGGGGTGGCTGAAGGAGCTGCTGCTTGCTGCCTCTTCGACCTGTACATGTCATTTTGAATTTCCACCATCGACAGATTTTCCTGTTGATGCCTAGAGAGGCTACCTGGAACAGAGGCAGGACAGAGTTAAAGGAATAAAGTAGGTGTTTATTAGAAAACCTTCAAAGGATGCACCTTGGGCTGTGACTCCAGCCAAGATGGACTCTGAGTCATGAGTTTTCACGCTTTTAAAAGTTTTGGTCCATTTCCACATTTAATTGTCCAATTACAGCTCCAGGTGATGCAGTCCCATCCTCCCAGATTGCTCTCCTCAGTTCACTGCTGTTTATACATTTTGGGCCTGAGGCTGCAATGGTGTCCTTGGTTCTGGGGCTGGAAAAGGATTGCTGTGTCTGCCTGAGCCGTGAGGAGAACTTGCTGACACTCTATATGAAGTTCAGAGTCACCCACCAATGCAGTGCAGAATCTGGAAAAAATGAAAGCTAAAATTTAAGGCATCACTGTTACAAGAGCAGGGTCATCTCAAGTGCCCATGAATTTGGGCTTGATCCACACATCCTGTGAAGACAGTGGAGCTGCTCTGAGACCCTCAGCCTGTGCTGGCTGAGACCTTCTCAAGCATATCTGACTTCCATGGATGGAACTACTGACCAGTTACTCCACTATCCACCCTCTGGTCATCAGCACCTGATGCTCCTCAAGGGAGGGGAAATGTTCTTCTCTGCTACCTAAGGTGTGGCAAATAATGGTTGTTTAAATTGAAGTACTGTAACAACCCAGCTCTTAAAAGTACAGGGAAATGTTTTGCAAAGTGCTGGGGTTTTAATGAATTTAAGTTCTTATAGTTTCAGCTTGGACTCCTGGAGTTTCTCAGAAATAGCTGAGCTCCACTGTTGTCTTGTAGATGTCAGCTATACCCTTCAACTGAATGCAGAGCTGTAATTCAGTTAGGGGCGTTTTTATTCTTTCCTATATGAAAAGATTAGCGTCATCATCTGCTAATTGCTGGTGGATTTATTATATTTTTTAAGTGGCGGGCTGTAATTTGCATTTATGCTGGGAGGTTTTTTTGCATCAAGCAAAGCACTGAGCGTTAGGCTGAAAAACAGTCTGTGTCTTCATGCTGGTGTCTCTGGAGAGCCAAGGGAAAAATATGTTTTGAAAATGTTGTGTTGGAAGAGACACGTGTTCTCTTCTCAGCAAACTCTCATGTCCTCCTTTGCCCCCAGGAACGAGGGGAAATGCAACCTCATGTTAGAAACCCTAACTCAAGTTTCAGGGAGGGAATTTACCCAGAGCAGCTGTGGCTGCCCCTGGTTCCCTGGCAGTGCCCAAGGCCAGGCTGGACACTGGAGCTTGGAGCAGCCTGGGACAGTGGGAGGTGTCCCTGCCATGGCAGGGGTGGGGTGGGATGGGCTTTGAGGTCCCCTCTGTCCCAAATCATTCTGTGATTCCATGAGCCAGATCTCCTGCAGATGTTCCTCAGTACATTCATCCAAGGATGTGCTAGGTTATCCCAGGTGGCCCTGCATAAATGTCCCAGGTAGAACCGTGGGAGCTCTCACTGTCTGGGCTGTAGGAATGGAGATGACAAAGTGTCGTTCTGCTGGGCTGTGAGAAGGCAGCACTGAGGTTCTCAGGAGGTGCAGTCAGCAGGGTGGGGCTGGCTGCTTGGCTTGGCTGTGCCTCCCGTTCATACCTGCTGTTCTACCACTCCCTTTTTGGCCTGAGGAGCTCCTCTCCTCAGGCCACCTCTGCATGGGAAATCTCCTTCGACTTGGGCCTGACCACTTCAGCTCTGAGTAATGTCCCACCGATCTCCTGCAGAGCTTCCTGGCCTGGGAAACGCTCCCCAGGTAGCTGAGATCAAAAAAGGCAAATGGCTCTTCTTGCCACAGGGCATTTTGCCGAGCAGTTGACACTGCTCTGATGGGAAGGGTCATTTCAGCTCACTTTTCCCCTTCCTGTGCCTTGCTCAGCCCTTCAGATGTCACTTATCTTTAAGGAAGTGCGGGTTTAAATGCCATGACCTGCCTGCAAGCTTTTATCTGGCCTTGCTGCTCTTCTGAGTCAGCACCAGGATGCCCAGAGTGCTTCCACAGGAAAGAGCAAAGAGGAAAACCGAGTTTTTGGGAAGCAACAGATAAGTCGGGGAATCTCGGGTTTCTTCAGCTTTGAAACCTTGCAGGAAAAGAAAAATAAAAGAAAAAACTCAAACCCCTCACAGATGTTGAGGTTTTTCTCTATGTTGATTAGGCTGCTTTAAAACATCTCACATTAAATGCCAAAAAATGATGGAGGTGGCGTGTAGTGCCCATTTCAATATTCGATGTTGGGAGAAGCCAGTTAATTTGCAGTAAGACAGCATCCCCACTGTCCCAGCAGTGAGAGCCCTTGGTTGCCATAGGATTTGCCTTTTCCCCCAGCCCAGCCCCCAGTTTGGTGTGGGGTGTGTTCTGGGGCTGCTGCTGATCCTGAAGCCATGTGGCATCGACAGGTGGCGGCTCGCACGGGGGAGTCGGGCGTGAGGAGAAGGACACAGGCCATGTCCAGGTCTGCCAGCAAGCGGAGGAGCAGGTTTTCTTCCCTTTGGGGGCTGGACACTACCTCGAAGAAGAAGCAAGGGAGGCCGAGCATTAACCAGGTAAGCAGGTGCAGGTTCCGGGGTACTGTTACTTGCAAGGTCGGTTTGTTAGCGGGCAGAATGCAGTGACAAAGAGTCACTGGCACAGAATCATCGCATTCCTCATCCCCCTCACAAATCAGGGGCTGCAGCTGCACATCGGTGCACAGCAGCTCCTATCACAGGTTTGGAATTTGCCCTTTCTTTAGCTGAATTCTGTTGTTGCATTTCTGCTGCTTCTGCTTTTCCTGGAGGTGCCTTCCCCAATCTCAGGAGCAACAAAGCAGCAGTGTACAACAGATACAGCTTTGAAGAGAAAAAAAACCCAAAACAATCCTGACTTGCTTGGTTGTTTTTAATTTAAAATGATTAATTTGTACAATGCTTTAAATATAGCTGAGTTTGCTGAAAACTCCCTAAAGTGATAAGAAACTTTGCATTCAGTCAGGACACTCCCTGTTTTGCTTCAGATTTATAAAAAAGGAGAAGTTGTGCTGTTTCCACCCAGTCACTGCCCAGATCTTTCTCTGTGTTCCACTGTGGTAGGAAGGTGCTTCCCTGTTACTCTTCCCAAACATCCCTAATTACAGCTTTCACTTTATGAGAGCCATACCTCATCTAATTGCAGGAAATGTAGGTTCTGCCTTTCTTTCTCTTCTCTCACTTCTTGTGGGGAGAAAGGCTGGGGACAGACGTTGTTGTGTGCCCTGTGATTTCTTGTGCTGTCTGTTCAAGCAGCAGTGGGTGTTTGTTTTGTTCAGCAGAGGATGAAGGCTGTGGAATTGTTCAGCTTGCTTGGAGCGAGACACTAAAAGTTCACCTGATATTTAGAGGCTGAGCAAATGCCCAGGGTTTGGTTGGAATGCAGCTCCATGAGCACCTTCCCAGTTCCTTGTGCCAGTGCTGCAGTATCCTCATCACTTTGTATTTTCTTGCCCCAAATACCTTGTCCTGAGCTGGGATCCTGCCTGTGCTGTGTTTTCAAACCTTTTTTTCCCTGCCCTGAGCTCCCCCTTTTGTTTTTCCTTTCAGTGGGGATAATTGCATTCTTCATGCTGCCTCCCCTGCTCCTGCCCCCCTCACTCCTCCACAGCACAGGCATGGAGAAGGATTCTGTCCCAGGTTAAAGGAAAGTCTTTGTGAAGAGAGTTGTAAAAAGTGTGAAGTTTTGAGAAAGTAAATTGAGAGTGGCTAAATGCGGTGCCTGAACACATTTCCCTCGTGTGTGCAAAGTGTTGCCTATTGGAAGCAGACAAGTGTAAGTCCCTAAAAGGCAGAGACCTTTTCCCATCCTGCCTGGTCCCTGCTTCTTTTTAGCCAGGGAATAATTAGCCAGCCCAGCAACTTGATCCTAGAGCTGTGCTGATGTGGAGCTATAAAACTGAACTTTTCAGTTTTCATTATTGGATTCTGCTGCAGCACCAACCCTGCCTGCCCATCTAATGCAGTCCTGTGCTGATTTGGGGTGGATGCTGCAAATATTCCTGTTTGATCATTCCTCCTGGCATGGGATGCTGTTTATTTTGCCTCTGTGGCTCGTGCTGGGTTACCAGCTCCTGTTTCATTAGAGAAGGGTTCCACTGACTTGTGCTTGAATGTTTGCTGAGTACATTTTGTCAGCTGGCCAGCCAAAAGCAGAGCCCTCCTGAGTTCTCAGCATTGGCAGAGGTGGGGAAGTGTTCATTTCCCACTTTTACTGATGGGGAAGCCCAGCACAAGGAGAGATAAAATTAGTCCAGCTTCTCCAAGGAAGTCAGGACAAACATCCAAGCAGAAGTGGCCTCTAATCTTCCTGTACCACCCCATCACCATGTGTTTTTCACCTCACCTTCTCTTCCATCCAGCTGCTGTTTTCCTTTTCTCCAGTGCATCTGCAGCAGAGAGGCAGGGAATGTTGGAGAGGTCCCCCAGCTCAGTGCCCTGCAAACCTTTGTGGAGAGCCCAGGTCTGGACAGAGACTGGTGCAAAGGTGTGCCTGTGCCAGTAAAGCCACACCTGTGCTCAGGAGCAGTGGTCCTAGTGAGGAACTGGGGCTGGGGGACACAGGACAGCACTTCTCTTTATTTAAAGAACAACACTTGGAGTGAGCTGACCTGGTGCTTGGGATCCCCTCTCTGCTGAAAACACCACTTTGTTCTTGTGTTGTTTCTCTTTGGATGACAAGCTCAAGCAAAAAGAGGTTAGAGGGGCTGCTGGATGTGACCTACCCACCCTGAAGAAGGTTTTCCCCACCCCAAATTTCTGCAACAGTGAAAAATGTCTGCAAGCAGTGTGTTTGGAGATGGATGTTCGTATTTCTCAGTTTGAATTCCATGCTGGATGTTAGACAGACTGTTCTGCCCATGGCATGTGCTGCACACAGGGAGTCAGGCTTGGTGTTTTAAAGCAGATTCCCTCTGTTGTTCCTCAGGTGTTTGGAGAAGGAGTTGATTCAGTGAAGAAGTCTCTCGAAGGGATCTTTGATGACACAGTCCCAGATGGAAAGGTAAAACCCTCTCCAGCTGCCTCCTTCCCCCACATTTGCAGGCAGTAAATTCAGAATAAATACTAAGATTTGCTATTTTGCCTTTTCTAAGCATAGGACCTGCAGTACCTACAACAGTTTTGTTGGCATTGGTTTGCCCAGAAACAGCACATTTCACTTTTAAATTTAAATCTGCTTTCATCCCTACTATTTTTTGTTGCATTCCTAGCATTCCCAGTGGCCATAGGGTGAAATCCCAGGAGAAGCACACTGCAGCAGTGTAGCTGTGTGGGTGGCACAGGAGGCATACTCTATCCTGCTCAGGGAAAACTGCAGGTTCCTGTCCAGACAAGCCTTCAACCTGGGCTCAGGAGCAAAAGATCTTCTCTCTAAGAGGGCTCTGATGCAGCACATCATGCCCTAGTTATTGATGAAGAGGGAGCTGAGTTGGGCTGGGATAGGCATGATGGATTTTTGTCTGTTTAGAGGGAGAAAGAAGTGGCCCTGAGCAGTGTCCACCAGCACAACCCCGACTGTGATATTTGGGTGCACGAGTACTTCACGCCCTCGTGGTTCTGCCTGCCCAACAACCAGCCTGCCCTGACAGTCATCCGGCCTGGGGACACCTCCCGGGACGTGCTGGAGATGATCTGCAAGGTAAACGTGTCCTGGGGCCGGTGGGAAATCAGTGCAGCCTCTGTGCTTGGACTGCTCTGCACTGGGACACCAGCTCTGTGTGGAGTGAAAAGCACAAATTGCACCGCAGCAGAGAGCAGGAGCACAGCGGAAAATCCCCTGCAGCTGGAGCGAGCTTGGCGTGGCTGCAGGGATGGGCAACAGGCTGGGGTTTGCCTTCCCTGCTCTGGCTGAGCCTGGGAGCTCTGCCTGTGCTGCTGCCTTTCCCAGAGCCAGCCATCCTCTGTGGCTCCAGTGGGACCCAGCTGAGTGTGGGACCCCTCTCCCAGCCCCTGGGCGCCCCACACTCTGGTGGTGCAGCACCCTGGTGCCCCAGCACCCCTCCCACAGCCCCTTCCCCCCTCTGCCAGGCCTCTGCCAGGCAGGTGAGGTGATCTCACCCCTTCCCAGGAGCCAGGGGACCTGTTTGCACGTGCCATGGCTCCTTCCTTCCCCTCGGGCTGGCACTGGGGAGAGCGGCAGTACCGTCAGCAGAAGGTGCCTGTGTTTGCTGCCCGCGCTGCAGAATCAGACCCGACCTCATGTGGGTGGCAGGAGGGGACAGGGGAAAGCTTTTATGTACATTGGAGTGGGGGGAAGAAAAACCACCTGGATTTCTTTGCCAGATGAAGTATCAGAGACATTGGACCATTAAAAAGAGTTACATCTCTAAAGAGTTGGAAACTTTGACAAATTAAACACAGGCTTTCAGATCTGGCAGCTGCATAATGTGTGTTTTCTGAGCCAGCAAGACCCAACTCCTGTCACGTGCTGCTCTGAAAAGTGAGTCTGCTTTGTACAACAACAACAGCAGGAGGAAAGAAAACATTTATTACTATCGAGAGCTTAACTTTGGGGACTTTCAGAACGTGTTGCATGTGCTTCCAAAGCGAGGGAAGGTGAGAGAAAGGCGTTTGTTTCCAGTAATTGTACGGTGCGCTCGTCTCTGCCAGGTGCGCTGCAGCTTGTGAAAGCTCTGCTTTGTGTTCAGCAAAAGATGACATTTTTGGAAAGAGTCATAATAGGAAGCTGGATGACACATTATTAGTAATGATTTATTTTTAGGATGTATGTTTTCCTTTGGGTAAGGGTGGGTGACTCAGTGGACTGAATCCTTGGCTGGAGTAAGCTGGTGTAGCTCTGTGGGTTCAGCAGGTGCCTGCTGAGGGTCTGGTCTCTCATTGTGCTTTTGCTGCAGTGGGTGGGGGTGTGTAAGGAAAAGGGGAGGTTGGTGAATGTTTTTGCAAGAGCTATTATCTGTTTCTTTCCTTTCTGTAAGAGTTTTCAGCCTGAAAAACACTGTCGAGATGCCTTTTTTCTGTAGCATTTAATAATCTCTTTCTTCTGTCTCTTGCATTCAGCTCATTTTCCCCCCTTTAATATCTGATCCACATCATTTCACATCAGTTTGCCATCTGCCATCTGAGAACCAGTCAAGTTCTGGTACAGTAAACATTTCAAGCTCTACATTTCATATAAACCTCCTCATGTTTGTAGATGTGGTTAAATCTGTGCTGCTAAACTGAGCTTGATTTTTCTGTTGGAGAACATTTAAATGTGCTAAAGTCATTGTGGAAAATGTGTTCTTAATGCTAACATTGCTGCTTGTTATTGTACAGCGAGTTAGGCTTTGGAGGACGCTTTGTGACACTTCTATGATTCAAGATTGGTGGGAGGAGTGTGTAAAGCACTTTTAAAGTGGTTTCTCAAAGATTTCTCCTAAAATGTAACTAGCAGCATCACTTGGAAGGCAGGAAAACTCAGTGTATATGCATTAAAATTGCTTTCTATGGCTGATAGGAAATAGTTGGTCCCTTCCAATGTTAACCATCCTGTGATTCTGTGATGACACTGCTCAGTGTTATCCAATATATATGCATTACTAACATTTGCATAATGCTGTGTCTTAAAATGGAGGAGGAAATCACACTCTGTCTATGAATTTAGGCAGAGCCGGCGTGGAGATAACACCAAAACCCAATATGAACATAATAGCAGTAAAAAACAAGCCTAGATGACTACATGGCATTTTGTCTTTTGACTACATAAAAAGCGAGGCAAGAAAAGTTTGGGATTTTTTTTTCCCCTCACAATTTACATTTTTCAAAGGGATCTGCATGAGGGGTGAGAAGCAGGTCCCCCAGGGCCTCTGGGTTTGTGCTCAAAGCCTCTGAGAAGGTGCTTAAGCCTGGGATGCTCTGGGGGCTCCTGAATGGGATCACAGCCTGCCTGTAAATTCTTCTTCTTCTCGAGCACCTCGGTTAAGTTGTCAGGTTGTGCTTTAAACGGGGTTAGCTGCTTAATTTAGTCCAGACATAGCCAGAATTATTAGGAGAGAAATAAATGAACCAAGGAGCTGATTTGGATGGCTGAAAGGTATTTTGTGTGGTCTTGAAAGGATATTCATATCATTAAAGCTGCCCTGTTTCTGCTCCCACCTCCCCACAGATGGATGCAGCTCCCAGCAACAAAAAGTGGGTTAATGGTTTGGCTTTTAGGGCAGCCTGGCTGTGTCCACGTTCAAGGGACCTTTTCCTTTCACTTCAGTAGAACATCATGGCCCTATTTGAAACACTTTAACTAGTGTCAGATTTTGAGGTAGACACAGCCTTGGGGCAACTGTAGGATGTTAATTAGCTAAATGGGGTGGCTCATGGGCTGCACCTCTCATTCCTGACCTGGATGGGATTGCAGTGTACTGGATTGATGGCATCCACCTGGGCTGATGGGGTTTGTTGGAAGAAATCCTCTCCTCTTGTCCCTGTTCCCTGGGAGCTGAGCCTGGCTCCCCCAGCTGTCCCCTCCTGTCAGGGAGTTGTGCAGAGCCAGAAGGGCCCCCTGAGCCTCCTTTTCTCCAGGCTGAGCCCCTTTCCCAGCTCCCTCAGCCCCTTCTGGGGCTCCAGCCCCTTCCTTGGACACCCCCAGACATGGGAGATGCCCTCAGTGGGTTTAGGTCTCCTCTCTGTGTTTTTGTTTAAGACACTTTTGTGTCTAGGGACAATAAGCTAAGCTGGCCAGAAATTAACCCAGGATTCCTCTCTGCCATTTCTGAACCTTTAATGCCAATTCTGCTTCCCTTGTTTTCTAAGGTGTTTGTGAGGTGTGTGTCTGTAAAGAGAAAATGACTGAAAACAGCAGTTATCAGGGAGGAAAGCAAGCAAGAAACTTTCCAAAAAAAAAAAAGAAAGTGAGGTAGCAAGGATATCTCCTACATTCAGCTGTTTTTCTTTTGGCCCTTGATAGACTTCAGTCATTATTTAATTAACTAGGAATTTGCCTGTATTACAGAGGTTATTCCATTTCAGGTACTCCATTTCATCCAAGGATAATTTGATCTTTGGGTTGGACATATTTGAACCAGAGCACTGTGCAGAGTGCAGCAATAGATCTGTTTCATTTTCCTTCTTATTATTGGTAGCTTTTTTTTTACTCCTGGGCTAGTCCAGGCTTTCCAAAGCATTCCCTGTTCTCTGTGTGTTTGCTGCAGGGCCAGGGTGGGATGTTTTCCACAGGTCCCTCGGTGTACGCTGCTCATCACCTCAGTGCTGCTGTATCACGGCTGGAACTGGAAAAGCCAGGCTTTAAAAAACAGGACAAACAGGCAATAATGATGCTCCTGAGTGAATTTTCAGATAAGCCATTGTTTTCAGCACAGCCTGAGAAACCTTGGTAATATGTTGGTTTAAAATGAAAAGGCTGAAGGTATAAAAGCCTTTAATAGTGGGATTTCAGAAGTGACACTGAGGAGAATTTACCTCCTGTATCTGTGAATCACTTTGGGGTTTCGCATTAGATTTGGTTTAGGAACTTTGGAAGTAACTTCTGGATGGTATCCTTTGTGTTTATCATACTCATAATGTGTTTTGATTACACACTGCATTAACCTCTGCTTAAATCAACCTTATTAATCATGCTGAGAAAAGGTCATTAACATCTCCCAGACCAAATGCTGTATCCTCAGCTAATTATAACTAATTCATTAAAATGGTGTGACCTGTTTCCACTGGGATGCAATCCAGGATGCAACTCTTGGCTTCTTCTAGCCTCATAAAGCCAGTGTATCCTGAGCTGCTTTGAATTTAGAGGACAGACAGATTTTTGGTGTTTATTAACCTTGCTTGGAATCTGCTAATTTACGTGCTAAATTATGAAGATGCTAAAAAAACTCAAACCAAACTGAAAACACCTTTCCTGCTATATTTTGCTCTGTTAGCAGAACATTTAGTTAAATATCCTTTTATCCAAAGGCATGCTCTGAGATTTCTGTTCCAGCATGGGCTTATTTCTGGAATGGCTTGGGAGGGAGCAGGATGCCAGGTCAGCAGAGCCAAGGAGGCTGCTCCCAAGTGCCCTCCGTGGGTACACAGACCTTATTCCTGGGGGAGAGCAGGAAGGCCAGGTTTTGTTCAGGTTTCAGGGCAGGAGGCCATGGTGGAAGGTGGTGCTGGGTCGTTTTTTTTCCTGTGAGGCTCAGAGATGAGGGGAAGACTGCTCTTCTGTCTAAAGGCTCTCTGTCTCTTGCAGACACACCAGCTGGACTACTCCACTCACTACCTGCGCCTGAAGTTCCTCATTGAGAACCAGATCCAGTTCTATGTACCAAAGCCAGAGGAGGAGATCTATGAGCTGGTAATGCTGCCCACTGGGCAAATGACATGACACTGGGTAGGACGCTGTTAATTAGTGTTTATCTGACATTCTGGAGCAGGCAGAGTTATGCTTTTTGCTTTGAAATTATGGTGCTTTTCAGACCATAGCAAATTGGCCTTCAGCAAAGGGATCTCTCTAAAGGTTTCATCCTGTGTTGGTGTTTAGCTCGTATTTGTGTGTGGATGTGTCTGGGGAGAGAGGAGGGACAGCCACAGGCAATGTGTGAAAGTCACTCTAAGGTCCATTTAAGCTTAACTTCCCTCCAAGTTGTCTTTTCCTGTTGTTCATGTTGTCCATGGAGGTTTTAAAGACATGGTGTGGAGGCCTGAGCACTTCATGTTACAGTCCCTGTCTGAGCTTCAAAGAGGGGAGAAACACACAAGTTGTTGGGTGTTTTTTGCTTTTTTTTCCTAATGGTGAGGTAAAGATTGAGGTCAAGAAGGTCTGGAGTTCTGTGTGAGAATATACTTCCTTAATTGCCTCAGCTGGCTGTTTTCATCTCGTTCATCTCGAAAGCAGACTTCAAAGGAATTTTGCCACGAGAGATTAAAAAAAAAAAAGACCAAACAGGATTAGTGTCATGCTTTCACTCTGTGATTCTACACAGGCACACTGTAAACCTTTTTAAAGTCCTTTTCATTGGTGGTTAGCTTACTTACAAAAATAAAACTTTGTTAATTATGGAGGCTTTTGCTCATTTAGCAAAGAACTTCTGGGATTTTCCATTAATGCTGTCAACAACAACAAAAAATAGTGCGAAAGTGCTAGAGGAGTGCTAGGACTGGGAAGTGTGATATAGTTGGGGAAAATCAAAACTCAGAGGAGACAGCTTTTAGCTGCGTTGTCTGGAAGGACTTGGGGGCCTTGTATTGAGAGGGCGTAGGATTGACAGAGTCATCACTTACTGTTTATTCTGAAAAGCTGTAATTAACCCAAAACTCTGTCCCTGGGACTGTGCAGATGCTGGAAGGGAATGGCAGGATGCAGGATGATGTCTAATGTGTGGGTATTAAACCAACACACTTTGTATGTTTGCTTGTCTGTGTGGGCTTGTTTGGGGAGAGCACTGGAGTTACTTCCATGGGGCTGTAACTATTCTGTAATACTGAGTTTTGCAGTGCTGATAGAATTCTATTCTATATTCTATCAGGAGATAAAATTATATTTTTATTAGGGAAACCTTTTGCAAACGAGTTCCTCTTCTTTTCTAAAGGAGTAGTTGACATTCTGCAGTCCAAACACTGAGTTTCAGAATGTTAATTGTTGTGAATTGCATTTTTACACGCTCACTGCAGCATGTAAACAGAATTAATATTCACCCGTGGGCTCTCGTTCACCTGGGGCTATGTTTTTTTTCCGAAGACAAAGGGCTGGTTTGTTACTTCGGTGCTGAAAGGCAGAGGGATTTACAGCTGGATGGAGGGACTTCTGGGCTATTGCCTAGGTGTGAATTTGTGCTGCTCTCCCAGGAAGAATGTTAATGACCATTTCAAAGACTTGGGGGCTTTCCTTGGTACAAATAAACATCCAGGTGTTAAAGGTGAAACGTCATGCTGAGGTATAGCAAATCTGATAGTCTGATAATGAAGAAATGTATTTAAGAAACAAAATCACTCCTTTATGATTTTAGTGCTGTCAGATAATTGAATTCCTGCAATGTCTTCATTAAAATAATAGAAAAACATTAAGCTATTACTACCTGTAAATGAGGAAAACAGGGCCAGAAACTGACTCAAGATGGTATTGACTGAGTGAAATAGATGCACGCTCTGTTTTGTGATGGGGGTGGGAAAACACTGCTTCCTCCTCTCTGTGTTCTGACAGCAGAGCTGAGTGACACTGCTAATGCCTCTCACACAGGTGGAGAGAAACTGTTTGATAAATAATGACCACAGTCCCTTTCTTCTGCCTGTAATTAAAAACCAAAAATCTGTTCCAAACGGTTACAATTGATGTGTCCTCCCACAGTAATATACTTTCGTGTTTGCTTTTTTTCCCCCTCTATTCAGCTATACAAGGAAATTGAAATCTGTCAGAAAATTACCCAGCACATTCAGATGGAGAAGTCTGATGCATCCTCTGATATTTATGGTGAGTTAGTCCCCGACTTGTTTTGCTGTTTCTCCCCAGTCAGTTCCAGCGCTAGCAGGTTCTTGAGTGCTGTTTACTGATGCACCTGAAAGGTCTCTTGAGCACAGTGAGAAAAGTACTTCTGATTCCTGAGCCACCCACAGGAACATTCACCTGCCCTGGAGGAGGACAGCTTTGTTTGGAGTGCTTTGAACGTGGCTTTCCTGGAGCTGTAGGATGCACAGGGAGTTTGCTTGCTGCTGTAGTTCCTCCCAGTGCCACCCACGGAGGGTGTGGGTGGGAGCAGCATCCTTTGCCAGCTGTCACATCTCACACAGGTTCTGCTGGGGGCTCTGCTGGGGCTGCCACACTGCCCACAGCCTGCAGGGCTCTGCAGCTCCACTGCTTCCTCCTTGCCCTCCTCCTCACTCCTTCCTCCTTGCTCCCCTCCTCTCTCCTCGGAGCATCGCTGTGGGTACGAGGCATCTCGAGTTCTGTGGCCAGGCAGCTCCACAGAGGCTCTTTGGCTGCTTCTCACCTGCCAGAGGCAACCAAGGTGGGTTCCTGGCCTGCCTGACATTCCTGAGGCTGGGGATGCCCGGCTCCAGGGTGTCCCAGGGATGCTCCAGCCCTCGAGGATGTCCCACAGAGCCAGGATCTGGCACGTGGCAGATCTGTGTGAAACATAAAGCAGGGGAAGGCCTCCCTGTGTAATTTCAGCAGAATCTCTCATCTCTGTGTAGTTCATACTTCTCAGCTTTCAGGTATTTCTGGTTACAGCCCTCCTGCCTGGTGAGTTTGCCCTTTGGCCTGGCAATTACAGTTCTGGAGTGTATTTTAGAGTTTTCTGTGTAACCTCCCGCACAGGAAGCCAGTCTGCATCTTTTTGCTGTTTATCTAAATATTCTGTTTTAATGAGTGGAATAATTCTGAATCCCCAAACTCCTTATTATACAGCTGCAGGCCATTGGAATACTGAGCTTTGCTACAAAGCAGTGGTACTGAATATTGAAGGCCTAAGAAAGAAATATTCACCAGCCCAGTGATGGTTCAGGGTTCATATTTATGCAGTGCCTGAAAGCACTGCAAGAGTTGGGGCTGTCATAGCATTTCCTGTTTATTTCTTTTTCTTCTTTTTTACTAAGTGATGAATGGGAAAAAAATGTGAAATGCACTGTGGTGTCCTGTGAGATGAGATCAGCTGTGTGAGGTGTGGGATGTAGCTGTGCAGTGCTCTGACCCTGCAGGGAGGGAATGCTAAAAACCCCCAAATAAGCTGACTTTTCTCTCATTTGAGGGGAAAATAGCCAAATGTGGTTGCCTCCAATTGGAAGGCAAGGATTTCTGTGGTCTGTATGTGTTTCCTTGTGTGTTTGTCCAGTGACAAGTGTGTACTGAAATCACACAGTTCTGGAGTAGTTTGGGCTGCACAGGGCCTTAAAGATCACCTCATTCCAACACCTCATCTCCGGGAGAGCTCACTGGGAACATTCTGTGGTGTTTCTGCTCCCACCAGTGTGTCTGTGGTAGGAAGAGGCACTCCTGGAGTGGAGTGTTGGATCTCTCAGTGGGAAGCTTTGCTGATGCCTGAGCACAGATGTTCTCACCTCTTTGGCTGGTACTTTCCCTCTTTGCCAGGGCTGTGAGGGCAGAAATCGGTAAGAATCCTTGGATTCCAGTTTGTGGATGTATCAGGTTCACCAGCAGCTGGTTGTGCCAGGGGCTGTGGGGATTACCCGAGGTGGATTTGTTCAGCTGTTGAGCTGCTTTGGCCACGTGCACTCAGAGATGCAGATTTTTGTTCCCCTGTCATCAGAACTTTGCAGTGAGGAGAAGGCTCTGCCTGGGTCACCACCCATCTCTTCCCACCTGTGTTTCAGAGTCCGTGCACGGTTTGATGATAATGTTTTTGGCAGGAATGCCAGCTTATGCAATCACTGTGGCTTCCACCCACTCCTGCCCTTCCTTTCCACCCACTCCTGCCCTTCCTCTCCCGCGGTGTTTGCGTGGAGCCCCGTGGAAGCCAGGCAGATGGGAGCTGTTCATTCCTGCTGTCCACGTGTGTGTGCAGCCTGCACACGCGCTGGGACGAGGTGTTTCTCTCCCGAGTGCAGGGCACTGAAGACACTGCTGCAGCTGGTGTGAGATCCAGCCTCTGTCCCAGCTGTGGAGGTCAAACAGGGCAGGGGCACACTGTCTGTCTGTGGAGGGGTTAACTGGGGGTGTGAGATGACCGTTTCCAGGCTGCTGCCAGCTGCCCATCTCTCATCTCTTAAAGCTGATGACAACCTGTGTAATTGCTCCTTGCGCCCTTTCTGCCAGGAATAACTGCAGGATTTATGGGTATGGCTGAAAGATGAATTAAGAAGCAACTGCGTGTGCATTTAGGCCTGATGGATTGAAGGAGGCAGAGGTCTTCTCATGGAGGAATCACAGAATCCCAGAATTCTATGGTTTGGGTTGGAAGGGACCTTAAAGCTCCCATTCCACCCTCTGCCATGGGCAGGGACACCTTCTACTATTCCCAGGTTGCCCAAAGCACCAGTGTCCAGCCTGGCCTTGGACACTTCCAGGGGTCCAGGGGCAGCCACAGCTGCTCTGGGCACCCTGTGCCAGGGCCTGCCCACCCTCACAGGGAGGAATTCCTTCCCAAGATCCCATCTAAACCTACTCTCAGTTTGAAGCCATTCCCCCTAGTCCTGTCACTCCAGGCCCTTGTAATGAGTCTCTCTCCATCCTTCCTGTGGGCTCCCTTCAGGAAAGCTGCAATTAGGTCACCCCAAAGCTTCTCTTCCTCAGGCTGAGCAATCTTAGTTCTCTCAGCCTTTCCTTGTAGGAGAGATGGAGCTTGGGGCTGCTTGGATGTGCTGATCTTGTCCCAGTGAGAGCCTGAGCTGTCCCTCAGCCTGGTTTTAATGTGTGGTGGTTGGCCCAAAACATCATTTCAGCTGAAAGGGCAACGCTCTTAGCAACTGATGCTTTGTGCTGACTCAAACTGCAGCCTTGGGCACACTGCTGTTTCTCTGGATGAGGGTTTTCCAGGTAGGCTTTGTGGTGATGACAACCAATAACTACTATATTTTACAGCTGCTCTTTTAGTCTAGGGCTCTTCCCTCTGCCAAAGCGGGTGTGTTGAGTGAGCTTCACAAATTTCATTTGATTCAGCCCGAGTAGCTCGCATGCAGGTTCCAAGTAGCTCAGTAAGTCATGAAAGGCCATATGCTTCTCACTTCCGAGCTGCCATGTTCTTCCCCCTCTTTTCTTCTTTTTTTTTTTGTTTTTTATTTTTAAATCATGGAAGAAAAAATAACGCTCAGCCATAAGGATCAGCTTGAAGGGAGTCCTAAAGTCAGGATAGGCTCCCAGCACATCTGCACCGCTTGGCTGGTGGCTGATTGCATGTCAAAACAAACGACTCCCCCCAGAGGTTTGTAAATGTTTTTCTAGTCTCTAGAAAAAGAGAGAGCAAATGGTTGCCTGCACTCATTTAGGGCGTAATGAAGTTTCAGAAAGGCAAATGTTCTGCTTTAGATAACTCTCCACAGTAAATAAACAACCTGCATTTAACTTGGCACGTCGTTATCTTACTGTCACCCACAAATGGCAGGAAAATCCCCCAGCCCAAAGCTCCCAGTCCCATTTGCTCTGTTTAAAATGAGGCTGTGTCAGCACTTCCACTCCAAGACTGTTCTGTAGTGAAACGCCGAGCTGAGACCTGGCAAATGACAGGTTGTGCCAGAAGCAGCTGAAAAGGGGAAGGGGCAAAGGGAAAGGGGCATTTTTACAAACGTGCCCAGCCCGGGAATCTCGAAAAGCAGAGGTCAGCTCTCTGTTCTAGCAGGAGGTGTTGTGCCTTGCCTGAGTTTGGGGCAGCACATCGGCCGTGGCTCTCGGATTCGCGGCTTTTGTCCTGAACCACGGCTCTGTGCAGCTTTGGTCTGCAAACAGGAAAACCTCCTGGAGTGACCTTTGGTGGCAAGAGAATTGGGAGTCTGTTCCAAGGCTTTGCAGCTGTGGTATCCTCAAACATGTAATTGGTATATGCACTCAGAAATTCAGTTTGGGTTTTTGTTAGAGCCACTTTCATTGCTGAACTTCCCTGTTGTGTTTGTAAAGGTTTGTGGGAAGGGAGAGGGGAGGGATTCCCGCCTGTTCATGGCAGGGACAGCACAGCCTTGGTGGCTGGGACACCCTGGAAGGGGCTGTTTTCCTCTGACCATCTCACTGGCTGTCTCCCCAGGTTTCTCTCTGTCCTCTGTGGAAGAGGAGGGGATTCGCCGGCTCTACGTGAACAGCGTCAAGGAGACTGGCCTGGCTTTCAAGAAAGGTAAAACACTTCCCAAAGCCCTCCCAAGTCAGTCACTGCCACACAAATACAGCAGGAGCATTGCTGTGGCTAGCATTACTGCCTCTGCTTCTGCTTCCACCCTTAGCAGGAAGCACACACTTGCAGCATGAGCCAGCAGGGATCCCCAGCTCGTCCCAAGGCAGAGCAGGGTCTGGTTTAGTGCAGCTTATCCAAGCTGAGGCCAACCATGGCACTCGTGTGCCAGTCACTGCCTCCCCTGCTGCACAGACAGGGGGCCAGGCAGCTGAAGCCCAACCACACTTTGAACTAGAGCACGGGGACCATGAGGGGTGAGAAGATTCTCATCTCTTCATAACCCAGTGGTGCATGCAGAGTCCTCAGAAAGACCTTCAGAGTTCTCCTGGTGAGGGCTTATATGGCCTTGCAGAGCTTATTCATCAGCTGGCCCTTGCCAAAAGCTGTTCCAAGGCTGCTGCCCCCCTTGGCCTGGTGCTGACTCTGGGACTCCGCTGAGCCAGAGCCATGGGAAAGTGCCCTGGCTGGTGGAGCTGGCTAGTGTGCTTGGGAATGAGTGGCCAAAGGGGCACAGTGGGGACAGAAGCAGGGAGGAAGGAACAGTGGAATGGGGGAACAGGGAATGAGAAAACGCCTGGAGTTGCACCCCAGCTTCAGAAACCCATGCTGGTGTTAAACATGAAAACATCTTGCTCTTTGCTGTCCCTCAGCCCCACAGTATGCCCTGGTGAACAGGATGGATATCCTGCCAAAAGCCCTGAGCAGAGCTGGGGGTGCTCCCTGCCAGGCTGCCACAGGGAAATGAAACCTTGTGGGTTCCTGTGTGGAGCAAAGCAGGCATTGGGAGGGGCTGGATGTGGGTTTCATCAGGGTCTGCTTTTAGTTGCTGCTGGAAGAGCAGTTGGAGTGGATGTGTGAGCACAGAGTGCCTCCTGTGGGGCTGCAGTGCAAGGACAGGCAATGAGAACTCACAGCTGTTCGGAAGAGACCTGAAACAGCACTGCTGAATGAGCAGCAGGCTACTGGGACAAGATTCCCTGAGGTGGCAGCAGGAAGGGAGGAAAACTCTCTGTGCCTCCCATTATTTACATGCAGTGTCTGCCTTTGACTGCACTCCCTCAGATATGAGAGACTGCATTTCATTTTCAATCTTTCCTCCAATTAGAAGACTTTTATTTTCTCCTGGTAATTTTTATGATTTATCCTTTTGTTTCTTCTGTTGGCCTGCCTTGGCAAGGCAGGCATTCCTTATTGGAACGGGAGCTCCTTGACTGCACTGAGATAGACGTGATGCTTTATCCCAAACGATCCAAAACAAAGACTACAAAGAGTAAATGAAGCCCCAGATCCAATGGTTATGGTTGCAGGCCTATTAGTGTGCTACTATTATGCCACAGAATCACTAAGTAGAATAAATTAAATAATGCGAAATGCTTGACTTGCCTTCTTTTGTCCTTCTTTCAGATATGATTTTACAGTCCATTTACTTCATAGCTACTCTATCTAGTTCATTTTATTCTCCCTGAAACTGCACACCACACTAGTTTCTGGGCACAATTACGTGCATTTAGGGAGATCTCCATTTTCCTAAGGAAGCTCTTTAGCCTCCTTCCTTCCACCTTTCTTCCTGGAATGTGGGTCAGTACTCTGGAGGATTCATTCATCATTTCAGGGTGCCAGGGCTCCCCCTTGGCATGGCAGGGATGGTCACCCCGGTTCTTTGGCTGCTGTCGGTTCCAGCTCTCATCCCTGTAAATGCAAGGATGGAGATGGGGAGGGTGCAGCGGCCGGGGGGCTCTGGGCACTGCTGTTCCCGGTGTGCTGCTGCCTGCCGGGCCCCAGGGATGATTTGGGATCAAAGCCCGCTCCAGCTGGCTGTGGCTGGTCAGGGAGGGCCGGGCTGGCTGTGGGGAAGGTCAGGATTCCCGTGTCACCTGTCCCTCAGCATCCCGGGGAGCGGGAGGCAGCTGCTTCCCTGCACATCCCCTTCTCCCTGGGGCGCTGCTGCTATAAATAACTCCTGGAATGGGGCTGGGAAAAAAGCCGTGACTAACTTAGCAAGGGCTCAGCTCTGCCCTCTGAAGATCCCTGTGCTGCCATGGGGTTCGGGAAGGGTCGTGGCGGGGCTGGGCTGTGTAGGGTGCAGCGTGCACCGTGAGGAAAAAGGGGATAAATTGTTGCTGAGGGACTTGCTGGGCACTCTGCTCTTGGGGTGGCACTGGAGGAGCAGCCAGACAGCAGGTCTCACAAAGGCCATCAGTTCTCAGTGTCGTTTGCAGTCATTAATGATTATGTCTAGACGTAAACACCGGTTCCTCCGTGTCACAGGCCTGAAAGCCGGGGATGAGGTGGTGGAGATCAACCAGAGAGCCGCAGAGGAGCTGGACTCAGCGCTGCTGAAGGACGCCCTGCTGCAGCCTGCGCTGTGCCTCACCGTGCGCACCCACCCCGAGCCGGAGGAGGGACAGAGGCTGAGCCAGCCACCCCCACGGCGCCCAGAGAACCCCTCAGAGCCCGGGGATGGTGCCCTGGCCTTCTCTGGGGGCAGCCAAGGTACTGGGGTCAGGACAGAAATGGCTCCTGCCTGCAGGTTCCGTGGTGGGAGGGACGGGAATTGCAGCCTGAGCGGGGCTGGGGAAGCTGTGAGGTGTCACAGGGCTGCCGACAGCCTGGGACAGCCCTGTCAGCACCAAAGGCACCTCACGTCCTCGGGCTGTGCCCACAGACACTCACAGAAACCAGCTGCTCCCTTCTGGGCCGCTCAGGAGATGCTTTGTCGTCTGGATTTGCCCACAGGATCTTCACGTGGCAAGGGGAGTGAGGGTTGAAGCATTCTGTGTGCACTTTGGGGCACCACTACGTCAGACAGGTCTCCAGCTGCTGGAGAGTGTCCAAAGGAGAGACAGGAGGATGGTGAAGGCTCTGGAGGAGCCCTCCAAGGAGCAGCTGAGGACACTTGGAATGTTCAGCTGGAGGAGAGGAGACTGAGGGGAGTCTCACTGGGGTCTGCAGCTTCCTCCAGAGGGGCAGCTCTGATCTCAGCTCCCTGTGAGAGGGAAGGGCTGGAGCTGTGCCAGGGAGGTTTATGTTGGATATTAGAGGGTGCTGGCACTGCCCAGGCTCCCCGGGGAATGGGCACGGCCCCGAGGCTGCCAGAGCTCCGGGAGTGTTTGGACACCACTCCAGGGATGGCCAGGGTGGGATTGTTGGGGTTCTGTGCAGGGCCAGGGGCTGCACTGGATGATTCTGGTGGGGCCCTTCCAGCTCGGGATATTCTGTGGCTTTGTGATTCACCCTCTGTGGGGTCAGCCAGGAGCACAGAGCCCTGTGTGTGTTGGATGAGATGCACGAATAACTCGGGGATTTTTAAAACCACCTGAAGATGGGGATTGCCATTACAGCGTGACACAGCCAGGTGATCCCAGAGCACACTGCTGTGGGAAGGGACATTCCTGTCCAGCCTGGAATGAATGACACTGCCCTGCTCAGAGAACCCAACCAGCAGAAGATTAACCTATAGCAACTAGGAATTGTTTGCCATGAGTTTGGCTTCCTGAATTTCTACTCAGTGCTCCTTCTAGATTTGACAGCAGAAGATGACCTCTTGCCTCATTTTTTTTAATTTAGAATACAGGAGAAATCAGTGGAATTGCTAGAGTGAAGTAGTTTCTAGGTAATCAGAACTGTTCTGAGCTGTGACTGGCTTTGGGGAGTGTAATATTCATAGCAAGTGGAAAAGAGGGAGCAAGAAAAGCTTCCACACAGCTTATTGTAAATCCCTCTGAGGGGACTGCTAAAAGCAATCTCGTGTAAGATGTGGACTAAAACTACACAGGCAGTTAAAATTCAACATTTTCAGGAAATTTTCCCTTTTTAATTTCCATGGCAGTTTACCCAGTTAGGCTTTTGTGCTGGAAAACCGAGGTAGTCCTGTACATTTTCATAGCTGGCCACAAGATGCCCCCATTTGCTGCTCAACACAGCTTTTCACAAGCCTCTTGTCTTTGCCTGTGATTTGTCACTGGAACCCTGAGTGCTGATTCCTCGTAGCTCAGCTTTTCCCCGAGGTGAGTGTCTGCCCCGGGAGCAGAGGGTTGGGAGCTGGGATTTGTGTGTTCACACAGAACCTGGTGCTCTCCTGACATTCCCATTCCTTCTAGGCACAGGGAATGCTGGGCTGGGATCTGCCTCTGTTCCCTCCAAAAGGAGGTGAATATTTCTGCAGGAGGAGTGGAGGTGTCCCTGACTGCTTCTGGAAGCGCCTGCAGTTGCCACATGAAATAATTCGGGCTGGCTTAGCCCGAGGTGGGCGTGAAATCAAGGCTCTGCACCCATGTGTGTGACTGGGAGGCAGGTGATCTTCCCCACCTTTCCCTCTAGTTAGGTGTTTGTAGAACATCTTGTTTTATTGAAGCCTTTCTTCTTCTGCTCCTGTGCTTTGTCAGGGATCCGTTACCTAAAGTGGGATCCACGTGACATTTTAAAAAGTGGTCTGTGCTTGTATTTGGGACATTGTGGTGTTATCTTAGATTTTTGTTCTTGGCTCCGCAGCTTCTTGCAAGAGCAGTCAAGTATGAAATACCCACTGACCTATTTATTTGTGTCCTTGTTGATTCCAGGCAGTTTGGCTGGCCAGATGAGCTCCATGATTTCTGCTGAATGCTTTATTTCTAGGACACAGATTCTGTGGCTGGCCCTGAGGTGCTGCAGGCCTCTCTCAGCAGGGTCACAGTGCCAGTGGGCACACAGCACCTGTGGGCACATCCCTTCTCCAGGAATCCAGGATCATGCTGGTGTCTTAGCATTATCTTCTTCCCTAGCAATTCTTCATCACCTGTGAAGGCAGCAAAGGGTAGACTTCATTTTTAGTATGAGGCAAAAGATACAGTGTATTTTCAAAATAGGAAAGATATATTTTTTAAGGAAGCTTTCCTGGTGCCTTGCTGCTCGTTGGGAGGTCTAGAGGAGCAAAGCAGGGTGGTGTTTCTGGGAGTCGACCTCCCTGGAGAGCCATCTGCCGGAGCTCCTGTTAAATCCCACATCTCTCACAGCCCTTTCATCATCTGGAACTCCCTTGCACATGCTGAGCTTGGGGCTGGAGCTGCAAATCAGCTCGGTGGCCGTGATTACTTCAGGGTGTTTGCTTAACAGGTTATTCTGGAAGTGACCTTGTGTTTTATATCTCTGATTGATGTGAGAACTGCTGTCCTGGGCACGATGGATGCTTTCCCCGTGAAACTGCGTTGCCTTTGCAGAGCCACAAGTTTTGTTCCTCTCATCTATTATTGCTTTTCCTGGCTCTGGGTTCTCTCCTGCTAACACAGCCTGCATGAATTTGGCTGAGGAGGATTAGCTCTGGTTCTGTCTGGAGCCCCACAGCAGGTTTTCCTTATTGCCTAAAAGGATCAGTGGGGTCTGTCTCCCCTCCCCATGAGGAGTGTTCTGCCTGCCCATTCTGCTCCCCTCAGTGCAGGGAATGAGAGCTGGGGACACAGCCTTGGATCTCCCCCAGATCACCAGCAAGGTATTCTGCTATTAGTAGGGGATTTGGGAATGGGGGTTTATCGCCTCCATACCCAGATTTGTTTGTGGTCTTCCCCACAATTCACTCCCTTCTTTCAGTGTGGGGCAGAGTCTCTGAGGTTTGGGCTTTGCCTGCCCCTGTATTTTGGAGACCTTTAGCGTGGGGGATGATGTGGAGCACATAAATCACTGTGCAGAATGGATAAAGACTGAAAAAGAAAGTTCCCCCCTGCTTGGAACAGGTGTACCAGTCTCCTAGATAGGAAACACATGGGTGTTTTAGGGAGTTTGTTATTTGGAGTTATTAACAAACAGGCTAAATGTGTGCTGTAAAACTGAAACAAACTTCTACTGCACTGTAAGAACAGCCACTGGTTTTTATTCTGACCTCATCTGTCACAGGCCCCCTCGGGCTGAGTAATTTGGATTTCAGAACCAACGGAGGCCACCAGTGACCCTAATTTCTTCAGCGTTATTTTCACGGGGCTGATTTCAGATTTCATTCATTGATGTAACAATTCTGGGGCACTTCCTGCAGCAGCCACCGGAGGGGTTTGGGATCGGATTGCATTTTTCATCCCCAATTCCCCGAATTGCTGCGGTGCTGCCTCGCCCTCTGGCGGCCGCGCAGGAGGCAAGGCTGGGGTTCCCGATTTCCCCATGGAAATGAATCCCTCGCTCCCGGTGTCCCGGACTGAACTTCACAGTTCAGTGTTTCAGAGCTAACCAGAGTTCTTCTGCAAGGAAGAAAAAAATACATACTCACCCGTTTTACTGAGGATTTATAGGTGAAATGTCACCTTAAATAAAAATGTAATCCGAGACACCATTCCCTAACAACTCCTGTCAAAAATGATATTTTTGCATTTAATGACAGAGCCTCTCCAGCCAGGCGTTCTGCTGTCATAACGGGGCCATTCCCTGGCAGCATTTGGATTAAGGAAGCTGCTGTGAAACTGCCCAAAGAGATGATATTGGGATGTTTTTAAAGGATTGCAGGATTCCTGGTTTGTATTTTGTGTTAGCGGGGTGCACACTTGGAGCTTTGTGCTGCAGCTGGCAGAGCTTGGCTCGGGATATTTATTCCCACTGCACTGAAATAAATGTATAAATAGCAATAAATAAATGTATAGCCTGGCAGCAAAAAGGAGGCTTTAGGAGAGGTACCACACATTGTGGAAGTCTCATTAAAACCTTGAGTTACACCAGCCCTGCAAGATGGAAGCAGCAGTCATGGAAAATTCTGGCCAAGTGCTGGGTGGTGCTGAAGCTTTTGGTGATTCTCCAGGCCTTTAAGGCCCAGCACCTTTGCTCCAGTGATAGACTTCTTATGTTGTGCTGCTTGTGGCCACAGATGGGAGTTATTTAGTGGGCATTGCTCACACTGTCCCAGGATGACACTGCTGGGGCAGCCCCTGTGAGCTCCCTCTGTGCTGGGGCCACAGGGGTTTCACCCCCTTTTCCTGCCCCTTTTTTGGATTTCCCCTTCTCATTCCTTAATGCCCCGTGAGGGCAGCAAATGGCAGTGGTCAGGAGGAAGGAAAGCAGCACATTCTCCTGGCAGAGCTAAATAAGGATTCACAGGGCAAAAAGCAGGTGATGGAACGATCCTGACAGAAGTGGGACGGTAACCGGGCGGTATTAAGGGGCAGGAACGTGCAGCTTTATTGCTCTGATTGCATTTAACAAGCAGCAGATAAACCTGCTCAGGTCCCTGGTGGCCAAAGACATCAGGAAAAGCCTGAGCACACATGCTGGGTGTCTGCTCCAGTGAAAGATTCCTTGCTGCTGGCTGAAAGAAGCGCAGGAAACAGGTTAAATGGGGCTTTGACATACAGGAAAAGAAAAAGGGGTGGCTTAAAACTAATATGAACAAATATTATTGCCTTGGTTTGGGGTGAGGAACAGCTGCAAGGTGCATTGTGCTTGAGAAGGGAAATTAATTGCAGTGGAAAAACAGACTGCTTCACAAAAATTAAGGCCCATAGCACGTATTTTCCCTGTTTTTTTTTAAATGGACACCTTGAGAATTCTTTCTCACACGTTAACAGGGAGAGCAGAAAGCTGATAGTGAGATTTGATAAAATCTGGGCAAGGCTCTGAAAACCGAACTTCTTACAGGGAAAACACTTCAAATAGACTTTGTGGTGTCAAACAACCCCTCCAGGCACATCCTTTTCCAAGGTAAAACCCTCCCTTTTCAGAAGAGGGGCCTTTTATGTCCTTTCCATTTCATCAATGCCCACCTTGGCTCCATCCCAGTATGCAGAATATGTTCTGAAGTTATTTCCAGATTTCTGAATTCTGGCTTTTCCAGATGATCTCTGGACATAACAAAGTGGCAAATCTTGCACAGTCGTGCAAATTATTTTTAATAATGGGGCCTAAAAGCTTGCAGGAACAGCAGCTGAATGCTGGGTCCTGCCTCCTAGAAACATCTAAAACTGTGTTTATTTCCTCAGCAAGTGGGTGTGTCAGGCCAGAAATGCAGGCAGTGGAATCACCATGCACCAAGAACTGCATACCACATTTTCCATGTGAAACCACTGCAGTAGAAAGGTCCTTGGCACTGCTCACCAGCTAAGCAATGAATGCTGGATTGTCAGAATTTCAATGTGACATTTTAGCCTTATCTCTGAATCTGTAGTTGCCAGTGAAATGATGTCTGGTCGTAACCTGTTTGGTTTTTACAGCCGTCCTTAAACTGGAGGTCGTCGGGTGCCTCCGGCACAGCCTCTTGTTGGAAGGTGTTTGTGTTCTTGGTGTTCCGTGGGAGCTCCATGGTTGCAGCCAGCTTTTCTTGGGGATTTTGGGGCGTTGTGGCCGTGTTTCACACCCGTGTCGCTCTCGGCAGGGCACTCCCTCTGCAGTGACCCCGACAGCTCGGCCGAGGCGGCCCCGGAGGAGGCAGAAGTGCAGGACCTGGAGTCGTTGGATGAGGCCGAGAAGATGAGCAAGGTGAGGAGGTTCCATTTTCATCTGGCAGGGAGAGCAGCCAGACTAGAGCACCCTTCCTGGGAAAATGCTGGGTTGGCTTTGAAGGTGTTTATGGATGATCCTGAATGGAACAGGCTTTGTGGCACGTCACCCGCTGCCTCTTCAGCAAGATTTGTGCCCTTTCTCCAGGCTGGGTTCATCCCTTCAGTACCCTGTGAAAATGTTCCCCACACAGTTTGTGAATGGGCTGGTTTATCACCTCCATCCCCACAGCAGCTCCACTGAACCGTGTGGATTATTAGGATTTCTTATTCTTTCTGGATTGCTAGGCTTAGGACAAACGTAAGCTAAACTGTATTTTCTTAAAGCAATGGCATCGCTCAAGTGCAGGTTTCTAACTGCAAACTAATCATAACCAATCTACCTCAAAGCAAAACTGTCCAGTTATAGCTAGGAGCTCGTGCAAATGGGTTGCTAATTGCCATCGATTCAGGGACACAGCTTGGTGGTGACAGAAGGTGATGATGGTGGCTTCTGAGGCACAATCCTGCAATATTACCTTGGTTGCTTTTGGGTGTTTGTGATACAGGTGATGCTGAGAGCTCACAGCAATTTTTCTTCACAGTCAATGATCTAAGGAGAGTTAGATGTCAGTTTGCTGGTGTTTCTGCTCCGTGCATGTTTTCTCTCCTGTTGTAACTAAGCTGTGTTGTAGCGAGCTCTGGGCTGGTCCCTTGCTGCTCTGCTGCAGAGAAAGGAAGGAAAAGACCTTGGCCTCTTGTTTCCTGATCCCTTGTGTCACTCTAGCCTGGAGTTTTGTCCTTGATAACCAGGCAGTGGAAGTCAGATACAGGAAAACACTAAATGCTCACAGAGAAGGTGATTACTCATACAGTTTGTTTCCAGGTTTTATTGAGGAACCTTTTCTTGTAAGTAGAAATAATTTCTTCTTCGGTCAGTGGATGTGTTTGTTGGTACTTTGGGATTTTTAACTGTAAATTTCTTCTCCAGTAAATGGAGATGTTTGTTTAGATAATTTGGGATTTTTAACTGTCGTTTTCTTTTTTGTTAAGTGGAAATGTTTGTTGATACTTTGGGATTTTTAACTGTAAATTTCTTCTTCAGCAAGTGGAGGTGTTTGTTGATATTTTGGGGTTTCTAACTGTAAATATGTGGGATTTTCATATGCTCTGAGCAGAGTCTGTTCTGTCAAAGGAAGCTGTGGCAGAGCAGCGAGCACAGCATGTGGCTGCTGGGGAATCAATGCTCTCCATGGGTTTTCCAGGGCTTTCTGTCCCTGAGTTGTGCCACAGGCTGGGGTGTTTTGCCCCTTGTCTCCTGGATGCTCAGAGCTGTAATTGCCTGCACAAGGCGTAAGGATTACCCGATTAGCTCTGCAGCTCAGCAGATTTAGTCAAACTGAGAAATGGGTGTTAGCAGCTTTAATGCTTAATATTCCATCCTGGGGGAGTAACTCCCAACTCCAAGGAGCCCTGGTTTCCAGCAGGAGGAGCTTCTGCCTGTCTGGCATTGAAATGTTGACATCACTGAGTGTTTCCTTTTAGGATACAGAAATATGTCTCTGTATTTGTGTGGGGTGAAGGGGAGTGAGGCATTTTTTTTTTTCTTTCTGTTTCAAACTGCTTGAAATGTTCTCCCACAAATAAAGGACACAAGTAGCTATATATATAGAATATATATAACTTAACTCAGTGTGGCAATCTCAAGGATGCTGCTGTCCCTGCTCTGTACTCGGTGTCTTCCTTGCTGACTGCAGAAACCCCCAAATTATTCTGCAATGCCTATAGAAAATTCCAGTATGTGGTAGTGGGGAAGAAAAAAAAGCTCAGCTGAGGGTTTTCCTAATCCCTTGGCTTTTCTCTGTGCTTGGGAAAGCTGATGTGCATGGGAAGGAAGGATTCTTGCAATGTGTGTTTTCCCATGGGAAATCACAGATATGAGGAGAAAAACAAAGGTGTTTTCCTGTCCATGCACTCCCACACCTTTCCATGCTCCTGGGATTATGGCACAGGAGATTAAGGTGGTGTCCTCACGGCTGTTTCACAGGGGTTAGTTATTTTTGTACGTGGCAAGGGGAAGGCTCTGCCCTCGTGCCATGTTCCCCTTTATCCCATCTCTGCCACAGCTCCCAGCCACGGATGGTGGAGCTCAGTGGAGACTTACCGTATTTTTCTTCTTTTTATTTCTCTGCCCTTCTTGGCTACAGCAGGGCAGGAGCACTCCCATCCATTCACCACTGGTCAGCAGGGGAATGTTCCCATGTTCCCAGCATCAGAGCTCCCCAGCTAAACACAGAGCTCCCCTCCTTCCAGCACAGAGGCAGCGTTAGGAGCTGGAGATCCCAAAACAGCCTTTGGGGTGTCTTGTGCTGGTCCCAGGGCAGGGCTCCATCCATGCCTGGGGAGCAGTGCAGAGAGGGACAGCTGCCAGCTTCCCCAGGAAGCTCCCTGGCTCTCCAGCCAGCAGAGAGATCCTAGGGCAGCATTAATGATTGATGGGAAGAGGAGAGGAGAGGAGCGAGGCACTCACAGCCTGCGTTCATCTGCTCTCATAGCACAGGCTTTGCATGAAGGTAAGAGGGGGAAATCCCACCAAAAGCTGGGCTTGGTCCCTTCTGCCTTTGCCAGACAGGTGGCAGGGGGCTGTGTGGCACAGGAGGCACTGGAATTTGTCCTCTCTCCTCCTCCTCCTCCTCCCGGTGGCTGCAGCTGCCTCTGTCCCTTCCCCCAGCCCACCATGTGTGCACGTGGGTGTGTGTTTCCTTAGGAGTGGTGCTTCTGCTTCTTAATCTGCAAAAGCCTCCAAGCTGTGGTGGTACTGAAGGATTTGGAGGTGCAGCAGGAGCTCTGAGGATCCCTCCCTTTTCTGAGAAGCTTGTCTTCTGTATATCCTAAAGGCCTGATAATGCAGAGCTTTCTTCTCCATCGCTGTTGTCAATGATTCCATTATCGAGAATAAGGGAAGATGAGGTGTCTGTGTCTGTTCTGGTAAAAAAACCCATCTCCAAGGTGGGCTGAGGTGTCAGTGGTGTGGGATAGCTGCTGTTCTCTGAACTCACTCCCTATCTAATTTCATCCTCTTATCTCCAGGGATGGACATCTATGTGAAGGGTGGCAAGCAAGGCGCTTTCCAGGTGCAAGCCTTCGCCTTAAGCCATGCAACTGGCCCTGGCCCGAGGTTTTCTACAAGTTGTTTTTGCTCTGGGGTGGACTTCTGGCTTTCCTTTCTGTCCCCATTTCATGTAGGAGCCAAGGGGAGGAGAGAGCTGGGAGGGAGAAGAGTGGGGGAAAGGAAAGCCTGCTCTCTGCCACCTTTTCAGGCTTGTTTTCATCTAGCACCAAATTTCAGGCTGTTTATGAAATGGGGGGCATGCCCCTCTGTCAGCCTCTATTCAACAGAGCATCAGAAACATTTCACATCAGAGTAATTTCTTCAATGGTTACGTGCCCCTCTGGTGACCTGATAATTTTGGCCTTTTCAATACTGAGGTTCCAGGGGGGTAGCCAAAAAATCGAGTATACGAGTTCCTGATGTTGCAGGTTGCCAAAGGCTAAAATAGGTGCTGTATTGAACATCAAAATTAATCTCTGTGTATTTTCTTTTCCTGCCGTGGTCCTTCGAATTTAATTGGGGATGTTTTGTAAGAAGTGTCACCAGTTAAAATTGCTGCGGGACACTGGTTTCTCCCTGTTTCTAATTGCAGACATCTGCCTGTGGCAGTAAAGGCCAATTACCTGGCAGCTTGGGGGAGCGTGCTTGATGGGCTCTGTGTGTGCGCGCCTGTGCCACTCGGAGGGATTTTTTTCCAAGAAAAGTAGGTCGGCTGCTCTCTGCAGCATTACTCCAGACCGTCGTAAGTCTCCAAACCTTCAGTGTGTTGCGGTAGACGTGAAAGGATTAAAAGGGGGATTGGCGGGGTCGGTTTCCCAGCGGCAGAACCGGCTCTTTTAAGTTCCTTTCATTCGGTGCCGCGTCCCCGCGCTGTTTGGTATTCCCGAGCAGCGCCGCTCGCAGCCAGCGGGCTCTGCTCAGCCACAGGCAGCTGATATTCCCGATATTCCCCGCTCCTCTCCATTGCAGCCCACGGCAGCACCCGGCTCGGGATCCGCGGTGAGCAGATGGCACGGGAGGGGAGGCTGTGCTGCCCTGTCCCGCTCGCACGGAGAGCGCTCCGGGTGCTCGGGAGGAGCAGGAGCAGCTCGGGGTGCCCGGGAGGAGCAGGAGCAGGAGCAGCTCGGGGTGCCCGGGAGGAGCAGGAGCAG